ATAATAATCAGAAATGTTTCTTGAGCAGCAGATCAGCATATTATACTGATTTCTGAAGATCATGTGACACTGAAGACTGGAGGAATGATGCTGAAAATACAGCTGCACATCACAGAAATACATTACAGTTTAACACATATTCACATAGAAAGCAGTTGTTTTAAATAGTAAAAATATTTCACAATATTACTGCTTTTGCTGTACTTTGAATCAAATAAATGCAGGCTTGCTGAGCAGAAGAGGTTTCTTTAAAAACATTAAAAATCTTACTGTTCAAAAACATTTGCCTGGTCGTGTATGTTAGCCTAGTTAAAGATATTAATATTAATAAGGTGAGTCTGAGATGTTTATTTGACAGTGATTTCATATTCCTTGTTTGAATGAAGGCTAAATACAAATAAAAGTAGAACATTAATTTACTCGTGCCGTTTATATAGTTTTATAGGAGGAGGTTTCATAGACTTGGCAAATTCAGTTTGTATGCACAGACATCTGTTGTGAGACATCTGTTTATGAGGCTTTTTTAAATAGTGTTCATATCGATATCGGAATTATATCGTATCGACTGAAATTAAGATTTTGGCCATATCGTCCAACCCTAGGTTAACCCTCGACTGGACGGCTGTATGAAGGACTGGCGCTGGTTAACCGGTGAGGACACGTCTATTCAGGACACCGTCCAGCACAACGAGCGCATGCAGTGTTACGCCATCGAAGACCACAGCGCCTTCTACCCTGGACACGGATTCGCCTACTTCAACCACAGCCACGGTGTGCCACCATACATCGTCTGTGTCCCTGCAGCACAAAAGCAGTGTTGAGTCGCTGGGGGATATTTGTAGCAATAGCCAACAATATATTGTATGGAGTCACAATTATACATTTCTCTTTTATGCCAAAAATCATTAGGATATTAAGTAAAGATCATGTTCCGTGAAGATATTTAGTAAATGTCCTACCGTAAATATATCAAAACTTAATGTTTGATTAGTAATATGCATTGCTAAGAACTTCATTTGAACAACTTTAAAGATGATTTTCTCAATATTTAGATTTTTTTGCACCCTCAGATTCCAGATTTTCAAATATTGTCCGATCCTAACAAACCATACATCAATGGAAAGATTATTTATTCAGCTTTCAGATGATGCATACATCTCAATTTCACAAAATGGACCCTTATGACTGGTTTTGTGCTCCAGGGTCACAATTATATACTGATACAGTATTTATTCATATTTTGAGTTTTCATTTTAATTTGAGTGATTTTTATTAGTTTTTTAAAGTATTATTTAACTTCAATTTCTTTTTATTTAATTTAATTAATTTGAGTACTTCAACTTATATTCCAGTTCCTTTCAAAGGCAGCATTTCTCATTTTCCTTTTAGTTTTATAAGTTTAAGTTTATCATCTAATATTTTATTTTATTTTATTTCAGTTAGCAAAAATACTATTTTTAACAGTTTAGTTTTCGTTAACAATAACAACACTGGTATGTGTAGATGTGGGTTTATTGGGGGTGAATATGACAAAACTACATTGTATTATTTTTTTTAATTAGTTTTTATTTTTTTCATTTTCATTTCAGTTAAAGTTTTGGTAATTTTGCTGTTTTGTGTTTTTTTATTATGCCTATTTAGTTCATATTTTTATTTCAGTTTTACTTCAGTGTTAGTTATCTTAGTAAATCAAGCTAAACTAAATGAAAATGAGAAATGTTGCTTTGGCTAACTAGCTTGAACTAAAATATTTTATTTTATTTTATTTAACAATTGTTTCATTTGAAGTAACAATGGTTTCAGCTTGGTTAACTGTAATAACCCTGTGTCCTGTAGGAGCCAATCAGACGCTCCGTGTTCATGTGACCCTGCGGCCTGCCTCCTCCGTAGGAGTCCTGTTTGCTCTGGTTCATCAGGACCGAGTCCCGTTCTCCGTCTCTCTGTCAGACTATCATCCAGGGACACTCGACTGGACCGAGGTGTGTGTGTGAGAGTGTGTGAGTGTGTGTGTGTGAGTGTGTGAGAGTGTGTGTGTGTGTGTGAGAGTGTGTGAGTGTGTGTGTGAGTGTGTGTGTGTGTGTGTGTGAGTGTGTGTGTGAGTGTGTGTGAGAGAGAGTATGAGTGTGTGAGAGAGAGTATGAGTGTGTGTGTGTGTGTGTGTGTGTGTGTACAGTGTTGGCCAAAATGATTAGAACACTAGTATTTTCAGCAGCTAAAATATGGTTTTAAGTCAATTATGTCTATCTTTTGCTGTAGTGTGTCAGGAGGAAATATCAGTTTACGTTTCCAAACATTCATTTAGCCATTAATTGTAATAATGCAGTGAGATATATGTTAGTGCTGCACACAGAGATCTGATCTGATCATCATCAGTCTGTCTGAGATTACATGAAGAAACAGAACAAACTGAGACCGACTCAATCCAGAAGAACTGACGCTTCTAGAAACCTCCTGCGAAGCTCCTGAGAAACTCTGCTCAAGTGCACCGAGGGCAAAAGCTGCTTCAAACACAAAGATGCTCACACCAAATGTTGGTTTAATTTAGTTAATAGAAGTTAACTGATAAAGAAAATCTATTTATGACATTGTTTTTGACAGCTTTCTCATTTTACAGCTTAAAGTGCCTCAAACTGTTAACAGCTCTGTAGCTTTGCAGCAGGTTTCTAGAAGCATCTACAAGCATCAGTTCTTCTGGATTGAGTCGGTCTCAGCTTGTTCTGTTTCTTCATGTGACTCCAGACAGACTGATGATGATCAGATCAGATCTCAAATCTCACTGAATATTACAATTAATGGCCAAATTAATGTTTGGAAATGCAATCTGATATTTCCTCCTGAGTCTGACACACTCCAGCAAAAGATAGACATAACTGACTTAAACACATTTTTTAGCTGGTCAGAATACTAGTGTTCCAATAGCTAATTTTGTCTGTTGATCTGTGACCCGCAGCACGTGCTGGTGTCGTTCGGTGACGTGGTGGTGGCCAGTGTCCCGGTGAACCTGTGTGACGCTCAAACACACACGGTGAACGTGACGGTGTTCGGGAACAGCTCTCTGCTGGAGGTGGATGGGCAGCTCGTGCAGATGGAGATGATGGAGAACGCAGACGCTCTGGATCTGACGTCTTCTTACAGCACCTTTATAGGAGGGATTCCAGGTAATGTCTCACATCACTTACACCAGTCTCAGTTAGGTCTCATATTGATCTCACGTCACTTACACCGGCCACACATCCATCCCACAGCAGTCTCGCTTCATTCTCACTTTCAGACTTACTTCAGGCTCACATCCATCCCACATTAGTCTCACTCAATGCCTATTATATTAAAGAATGGTTTAGTAGGTTATTATATTCATCAATTTAATATAGACATGCGACTAGTTGACTAGAAATAAATCTTTAGTCGGGGACAGGCTTGCTTGGCACAAGGAACTCATGCATTTATAAAATAAAATGCTATGACATTATGAAATGTGCGACTGCAAATCACTTCATGTTGTATTGCATTGCACATGTTATCCATGCGAGTCAAATGTTTTTATTTCATATTTTTTTATATATATGTATATATGGGGGTTGCTTTGGTTTTAAGTCTAAAAGGGGCAAGTTTTGTTTTTTTAAGAATACTATACTGTTTTTTTTTAAAGTTTACTATACTGAATACTGTGAAATTTAAAGGATTCGTTTTGGAGTGAACTAAAATACACTGAAAATACACCAATGCTCATAATATTTGTTTGTGAAAGTTTACCAGTATTTTTTTCTGAATGTAATAATAAAATGTGACACTTGCAACTTTTCTATGAACTACGAAAGAGGATTGGGCCAAGCAATAATAAAAAATTAAAACCATCTCGAGATTAAAGCCGTTCAATTTAGAGAATAAAGTCATTGTTTCGAGAAAAAAATAAGATATAAAATGAGATAAAATGTTGAGAATAAACTCATTTACGAGAAAAAAGTAGTAAAATTTCGAGAAAAAAACTCGTTAGATTTCAAGAGAAAAGTCTAAATAAAATGTTGAAAATAAACTCATTAAATAACGAGAAAAATGTCGTTAAACTGCGAGAGAAAAAGTCGAGATAAAATGTTGAGAATAAACTCGTTAAATTACGAGAAAAAAGTCGAGAATTAACACACTCAACTTTTTTCTCGCAATTTAACGATTTTAATCTCGAGATGGTTTTATTTATTTTTATTACTGCTTGGCCCGAATCCTCGTCCGTAATGAGCGAGTGTGACTTGTCGTGGGACGCGGCTTATTTTCTGAAAAATACAACAGACTTCGAGGCAAATGATTTTGAAATGTGAATCTCCAGAGGGTTCTGATGTTGTTTGTTTGTGCAGATGTTTCTCTGGTGTCCGCTCCGGTGTCGGCCTTCTACACGGGCTGCATGGATGTGCGGGTCAACGGTCACCTGCTGGACGTGGACGAGGCCCAACACAAACACAACAACATCCGCTCTCACTCCTGCCCTCTGCTGGACACGCAGCAATAACCGCAGCGCAGACTCCAGCACAGGAGGAGCTTTAATCCGGATCCAGTCAACGGATCTTCAAAGGCCTTAGTGAAGCCGGACCCCTCGCCACACTCACGCACATATAGCACAGTATCGATGTATTCCTCACATTAGACCAATCTAACACAAGCTACTGAGAGTGTGCTGTAAAATACTGTAACAGTACATATGCCACTGTAAAATGCTTTAGAGGAGGATGACTAAAAACACCCAACTACCATTAAAGGCCTTCAGGCCTCGATGTAGGTGCTCAACTTCATCATCATCATCATCATGTAGTTTGAGTTGGAGTTTTTCTAGTCCCTCGTTTGAGTTTGTCTTTTTTAAACTTGTTTTTATTGTTGAAGTTGTTTTGTATTTCGTTCATGTTTGCTCTGTGTGTGTGAGACTGAAATGCTTGATGAAAACTAATAAAGGTGGATGGTGTTGTTATGATGATGAATTCTGTCCTTGAAGTCCACAGATATTCAGCGGCTCACAGAAACAAAAACCTGATGAGTATTACTTTACGCTGATATTTTGAGCTGCAAAGGCCAGAAGTGCACGACGCTAGTGCAAAAACACTTAAATCACAAAAACATTAAGGCACGACACTACAAGCAAAACCAGTTGTTGTTTGTTGTCTAGTTTGCATCCATAACGCGCCTTCTTTCAGACCATACAAAGTGTTTATTGCACTTTATCTATTAGTGTCTGTAGATTTGAACTCCATTCCATATCTTTATCTCACACCAAACTTCAGTTTTATTCCAATCTATATTCTAAAGTCGTTTGAGGCATTTATATATCATTCACACTCATTCTGATTTATAAAAACATGGTGAAAATGTATGTTTTCTGTCTGTTGACAGTATTTTCTGATTTATGGCGCAATAAAAAGAGAAAACCATAATCCCCTCTGGAAAAAACCTTTAATATGTCAACCAAATCAAAGAGTTTTGATCCTGGCTTTATCCAATGTTTAGATTTATGTTCTGGTAATGTATGCAAATTAATGTACATTTAATTAGATGATGCCTCGTTTGAATATTTAAAAAGAACAAACACCAGTTCTTTTTTGCAGTTTAAAGGAAACATTCTATTTTGTGAAAATACTGAATTTTGTCTAAGGTTAAAATAATGAAATAGCAAATTAATTTTGTTAGGTAAAAAGTGGTGGCCTTGTGTAAACACTTGGACAATGTAAATTGCTGAAATCTATAGGACAATTGTTCATTGAATTTTCACATTGTGTTTTCAAGTTTATGCATTTCAAAAGTGCATGACAAAGCAAACTCCAGTGCCATTAAATAATGGACTTATTCTGAAGAGTTCAAACGAATAGTTCATGATTAAATGCTTTAAAAAAAAAAAGCCTTAAAAGCATAGCAGCTTAATTTATTAGTTACTTACAGAAATGTTCATAAGATGAAAGGGTTAAGAACGTATTTTTCTTGATTATAAAACAAGCTTTGATATACTATATTATTGCCTTGTCTAATACAATATATTTAAAACTTTAAACTTGTACATTTTAACCATATATTCATCTATTTACTCTTTTTAAGCAGCAAGCACTTCATTTTTCAATGTAAAATGTGAGAGTTACATATGACTAACAGGAGAATTTGCATGGTATATCATGAAAGTAAAATCTGGCAATAGTCGTGTACATGTAGTTAGAGTTATGCTGCCATATGTTTAGTATTTCAAAATACCCAAATAAATTAATCATTCTTATGAAGATTTAAGACAAGTTGACGGTTATCAACTTATGAATGTATGCTTTTTAATAACATTCATCAAGAATTTGAATTCTAAAGTTTTGCTTTAAGAACTGTCACTCTTAAAAATAAACAGTGATGCAAAAAAAAAAAATCCTAACTTAAATATTCTTTTGTTTTTCAAGACGAATGTAGCAGTTAGGAATTTTTTTAATTAATAAAGTTTTGTGAATCTAACCACTGGATCATGTGCGTTGTTGAATTACATAAGAACTGAATTTGTAGTTAGGTAGTAGAGCTTCTGTTATTAAACCATATGTGACCCTGGAGCACAAAACCAGTCGCTGGGGGACATTTGTAGCAATAGCCAAAAATACATTGTATGGGTCAAAATGATTGATTTGACTTTTATGCCAAAAATCATTAGGATATTAAGTAAAGATCATGTTCCATGAAGATATTTTGTAAATATTAAAATGAAATTTTTGATTAGTAATATGCATTGCTAAGAACTTCATTTGGACAACTTTAAAGGCGATTTTCTCAATATTTTGATTTTTT